CTCCATGGCTAAAACTAGAGCTCTCTTGACAACTTCATGATAGAAAAAAGAAACTTCCAACTGTCTTATGCATCTGCAGGCCTCAACAGTGTCTCCACTCTCAACATATTCTCTCAATAGTTCAGCAATCCTTTTCTTGACTTCCTCAACAGTGAACTGGGTGCTGCCACCCCAGCGCCTCTCTACAAGTTCTGCATGGTGTGGAGCTGAGAGATAGCTCTTCTCCGCAGTTTGCAACACCTGAAACCCCTTGGAGGATTTTGGGAGCATTTTTCTGACTCTGGCAATAAAAGCTGGTGGAAGAATGTCATCGACCACAGCCCGTGCAATGAATAAAGCAAGGATATTAACAGTATCTGGTATGTCCACTGACAAGTCATCAGCAGACTCCAGAAGCATGTAAAACCCCTTGCTGATCTGGGTAGGGCTGATGACATCGGCATAAAGAGCAGAAAGAAGAACTGAAGTCATTTCCTTCTCCTTGTCATGCCTATCCATTGCCAAAGAAACAAGCCTCTTAATAAAATATGGGTGATACTCAGTTGAACCTAATTCCTTGAGATCAGACGCAGCCTGTTCCACATTACCAGTGCTGAAGTATTCCTCTATAATTGATACTACTGATTTCTTATAATCATCTAATGGATCAGACACAGCAGTTCCTACAAGCTCATATGGCTCCTGTTCATTTACAGTAAAGGAGGAATATAGCATTAATATAAAAACCTCATGAAATATAACTGAGACAGTATTCTAATACACTGATCAATCTAGCAATTACAGGTAAAACGGACTAGATCACTAGAAGATGAATCAATTGGTTCAGAAAAGATGGAATTTCCTGATGGAAAACTAGAATTTTCTTTAACTAAGATATGTATTTTGTGTCCTCACTACTTTTTCTTTGAGAGAACAAAAGTTCTTCCCGTCATATGTGATTATAACTCTAAGGATTTAAATTTAAAATACTGCTCATCACCAGTAATGTTTCTTTTGATGACCATGCTTATGGCATATAGAAAAAATGTGGACTACATGTACTTCAAGGAAACAATTGGGAGCCTCGGCTTAGGGGTCAAGTAGGTTCCTCAGTGAAAAAGGTGTCTGAGTCTTAGGACTCAATTCTCTGCTGTTTTATGAATTCAGTAGAAAGGTATCTGGATTCTGGGAGCCATAACAAATCAGTAGCTATGGAGACAGATTATAAATAGACAGGAAAGAAAGAACAAGAAATTAATCATGCTGCATTGGATATACATTAGGTGCACTTAGAAAAATAACTTAGTACTGAAATATACTATCATTATGAACCTTCACTTCTGCCGTTCTCTACACAATCACGATACTTAGACTAAAGTGTATACATTAATTTCCTTTGCATTATTTCTTTCTCACCAATGATTCCCTCTCATTCTTCTAATTACCTTTTCTTTTGCATTTTAATCCAATATTGTATAGCGTACATAATGTTTGCAAGGTTTTAGAACCTGAGGGGAGGCATTATGGTCCATTGTACAATGTAATATTGCCAAAAAATGATTTCAGTACTCCAATGGAGAATAATGTAACATGCGATACAACAAATTTAAAGTTACTTTTTTCACCTAAGAAGTATAGTTGAATAAATCGCAAGACGCACCTCACCACTGTCGTAGTTTGGATCATTTCTATCAAGATGAGATTCACCTTCAGTATCGAGCAGTTTTCCCCAAGTGCCTTTACCACCAGCACCATCTGTTTCTCACCATAAAATAAAGAAAAGCATTCAGTATATGGACAGAAAAAGAAATTTTTCAAGAAAGCATACAAGCTGCATGCTTTTGCATTCGAGAACACGATAAAGTCGCAAGAGAAAGGGATGCCATTTCTCAATTTCCAGGCTTCAAACTATTGGAAAATCAATTGGTAAGGATTCAGGAGGATGAGGCAAGACAAGAAGGATGATACCAAAGCCTAGGCTAGTACCGCAGTACCTCAAAAGGTCACTCAGCTAGAGCTGCAAACCTGTTAAACCAACATGAGAGAGAGAGAGAGAGAGAGAGAGAGAGAGAGAGAGAGAACTGGACAATTAAAACCAATCACCTGCAAAACTAATGTCAGAAAAATGCTTGGACTATCACTCATGCGCCCTCGGGCAAGGATGTTACTAACGAACTTCAGCTCCTACTAGTTAGATCTTTGCACGATGAATATGACAAATCTAAAGTGCTGGTAGGGTAGGCAGTGTTGTCAAAGGCTCATTTGAGGCATGCTTACGCCCTAAAGCTCAGAGAAGCTCGGTCTAGGTGGTTCGCGTCCCTTACGCTGCGGTTCAATGTAGGCAAGGCACTAAAATGTGCGCCCAATTGACCACGAGTTCTATCTTGAATAAAATAGTACAAAATCTTAAATATTATTGGCAAAAACAAATATTATATGTTAAGAAAATCAACATGAATGAAGCTATTACTTTTGTCTTGCATTGCATATATATATATATATATATATATATATGGTTCTTCGTTGCGCCTTCTTAAACTGCCCAAACTTCAATTGCAGTTCGCGCATAAAGCCTCAATAGACCTGGAGCACTTTCTAATGCTTTTCGCTTTTGACAACACTGCTTGTAGGTAAACATAAACTAAATCTTGGCATTAATAGAACACAATGCTCACATATCCACGAAAACTCATGAAAGGTCCCCACCCCACAAAAAACATACACTCCATCCTCCCTACTTTATTTCAACGCCATTTGGCTTGGCAAAGATGAAAGAGCTCTATCGCCCCTCTGCCGAGTATTCCACCCATTTACAAGATATTAACTTGATATGTGCGTTATATTAGTAATAAAAGAAATTTGAAGTACTAACTGAAAACTTAACAAGATAAGGAATACATCACCTCCAGATCTAATAAAGGACTTGTCAAATGAATTGAAATCTTTGGAACTCATGAAAAATCGTATTGAACATTATTACTAGAGTGAGTAACAATGGTGGTGTTCGCAGGTGTTCAAAGTACATTTGAGACGTTTAGAAAGAATGTCACGAATTAGGAATATGTGAGTAATAGAAGTAGAGTTTGGGCCAGCTTGGGCACACTTCGATCTAAGGCAATGGGCACATGCTACCTCTCACCAGCATAGACACTGGGTAACTCTGTCACCAAGCTTAACCAGATAAGAAAAATCACCCACTATTTTTTATCTCTGTTTGGATTTGAACCTTGCTCGCCCAAGTAATTTTTCACTTCATTTGACCTAGACCATGCTCTTGACCCAATAAGTCCTTTCCGAAATTATTGATATTGTATGGAGTAAAACATAGGTGTTACGGGGTACGCATAGTGGGAGCATGAGTTTAACTGGACTAAACAATTTTTAACACGAAATGAAAAATGCATATGTAAAAAAATCACTAAAATTTCAACACATCAAAATTTTGAACCCACAATTTCAAAATGCAAGGGCTGAGTGGTAAACTACCTTGCAAGGTTAAAGTCATCGAATTTAAATCCTAAAATTCACCTCTGACCAAGAACTCTTAGAGTATCACATAACACGGAAAATAAGTGTAGCACTATGTACAGTTCTCCGCACTGTAGCTTTTTTAAAAAAAACTATAAGCGTGATTGTTTTAAAACTATGAACAATTAAGTCCCACGAAGTACATCAATCCACAATAACGGGAGAAAAGTTCAAATTTTCCATATGCCTACCTTCAAAAGGGATTTACAATGGCATTTCTATTTCGATTATTCAATTTAAATTTTAGTCAGTTAAACAGTACAACTTTCTTTTTCTCTTAAGCTCAGTAAGAAGCACCAGGATGTAATCGGTTGACTGGGAATTAAAAGATAGTCCGTCATAATTCAGAGCCTACAATTCAATACAGAAACTTGAGAAGAACTAAAATATCGTCATGATTCAGCCAAAAAGTAATACTCACCCTTCTTAACACGGATATGTTTCCCTGAGTGCGTACGTCGTACATGTCTCACAGCAATTCCAGCTGTGGATGCCCTCCCACCTCCTGGTGCCTTCACGTGATGCTCCGACAGTAGAACGGACGAGGATTTCGTACCTGGAGACTTCAGAGTAGGAGACTTGGGTGAAGATGACAAAACCTCCACATTCGGCGGTGCAACATTCAACATCTCCCTCTGTTCTTTAGTCAGAAATCCCTCACCCGATGCCATTTCACAAAACCTGCACACATCAAACAATCAACTCTCCGCTTCAAATGTTAAGAAATAGCAGAATACATTCCATATTCTATTTATGTCCAGGTTTTTACCTCTCCACACTGCAAGTGGCTACAGTGATGAGTACGACCGATTCGATTAGTTAATCAGTTAATCGTGTAACGAACGTTAATTCCTCTGTTCTTGGCTCGGATCTCGAGCCAAGAGAGGATAGCAAATCGAGAACCAATCCAGAATCCGATCCTCAAATAGTCATACAAACACACTCCAGCGTGCTGTTGAAACGCTAGATCAATGAAATCCAAGTGAAAAACGGTTAAATGGAAAAGATGAGTATATCCTTTTGTATGTATAGGTTTGTGGATTTATAGATTGAGATTTGACAAAGAAAAGCGTGAGAAGAGTGGGGGCACTGCCTGGAAATGGATGAGAATGAAGAGTATAAATAGGGAGGCTATGATTAAATGTACACGTCAGCAACAACGTCTCTATCCACGTGGCTTTCGCGCTTTAGCTGAGACTCTATTTGTGGAGCTCCATTCAACGTTACCTGATTTAGGGTTTGATAATTTCGTTACATTTATGCCCCTTTATTGGCAGACAGTGACAAAAAAATTAAATATGCATTGAATAAATTTTTGACCTAGCTAAATAATACTATAATTTTATGACTAAATGGTGCATAAGGTGGCTCCGCTACTTCTAGCAGAGAAAAGCTAGTTATTTGATTTGAAAAGTTGTCTACTATCTAGAAATAACAATGTTATAGCTTTAAGAAAATCCAAATATTCTGCGCAAACTTTAAACAACCTAAATATACATTTTCACAAAAGAACATCTATAAATACAGTAAACTTACATTTTTTCCATACTTATGATGACTCGTAATTATTTATTTGTTAGTCAATAATGTTGACGGTATGATTTAATTTAATGCAAAAAAAGATTAGAATAATGTCAAGAGTCTAAGGCTATTAAACACAGATACTTACAAAAATCAAATTTTTTTATATTCATTTATTTAAAAGTTAATTCAAACATACAATCTCCTAAACTTGTGATCACTCCTGAATGATTGGATTTATGTAGTCAATTACGATTGTAGTCTCATAACAACGGGAAAAAAATGTTGGAATAGCGCAAAAAGTCATGAATAGTAAAAATTAAAATTCTCATCTTAAACTTAAGAACGTATAATTGGTAATATTATGGGCTCACATTTTGACGTTGGAGTTGGTCATACATTTTCTGAAAGTCTAAACAGCGGACTGCATCTACTCCTTCCTGTTTTTCCGTCTATTTCATTATGAAGATCATAAATTAGATACTTGAATGATATTTTGTGGTTAACGTAACATTTGATGGATGAGTTTAGTAAAACTTGTAAATTCAGGAGACTATGTCGGTCACTTTTGCATGTAGTCATCGTTGAACTCAAAAATGTCGTTACTGCCGAACCAAAGCTGATTAAAAGGAACTGAAACTCTATTAATGATCATAGCCAAACTTCAAGGACCAAGTTGGAACAAGTTCTTATTTTAAATAAATCAATTAGGTAAGCTTTGATGCACTATACTGCATATTCCTTCCATTGAATGAAGAGATTCGTCTTGTTAGTTTGCTTTTTGTTATTTTTTCCCCCTCCTGAAAATCCTTTAATTATTTACAAGTCTCTTGATAGATGGATGATCTCGAGACTCAATTTTGTTTCTCTCAAACGTCCAAATTTCTGTATTCTCAAATACCTTGAGAGTAAAAGAAGTCTGGACTCTGGAGAAGGCTAGTGAAACACATTCTGAATTTCTGATAATGCGGAAGACCAGGCATCGTTCTATAATGCAGTTTCTTAATTCCTAAACAAACGATTTTGCCCTCTAAATACCTTGAACAGCCATTTGAAAAATGAGATACTACCGGATAAGGCTTTTAGGGAGGAAACACATCACTTCACCTGCATATAACTGAATCTTTTCCGCTCACTCTGTTCCAAATACTGAAACAAGCATAGACTATAGGTGAGACATGAAACACTACCTTAGGATGGTGAGCACAAATAATCCAAGCGCGTGTTCTTATTTCTCCAACAATTCTGCAACTTCAAGAGGCAAACAAGAGGTGAACATCTTGCGCAGTAAAAAATTCAACAGGAGAAATTAAGAGCACCTGCACTAAAGCCGCTCATTATTTGCCCTATTGGTACTCATCCCTTCTGTAGCTTTTAGATTAAGTAGCTGCTCATGTCTATACATTCAACATGTGCTTTTAACTGTAAATACTCATACAGTGGATTTTTATTCCCAAGTATCAAGACTACTCATACAGTGGACTTCTATTTCTAAGTATCAAAACGCTAATGGCATCGTGCAGCAAGTCAGTGATGTAAAATTCCCAAAAAAGATTAAAATTCAGGGAAAGCAGATTATGTAAATGATCTGCACTAACATTCTTATGGAAGACAGTAAAGATTAAGCTAATGTAGTATGTGTTTACCACTACAGCAGAGGAATACGGGGGCCTAGTTTTTACATCAACAAATATCCATCATATAAGAAACTTTAGATGAAAGAAAAGGAACTAGAAGGGATTGGACAGTCGAGGTCAGTCCACTCCCAATAAAAGGGTGCAAGCTACTTCTAGATAAGGCAACAACGAACAACATACAGAGATGAAACAAGCTTAATGTAGATGATTCTACTCATTAAGATGCATCAGATAACCCAAAAGTCGGTAACAGCCAGCCTCTTTCTTTGCCGAGCTCCACATAAAACGTGAATTTATCCTTTGCATTCGGAATGTCAAGAGCCAGATCATCAAGTCCATCCTTGATCCTCCCAAAGCCTTTAGTTATCTGGTTGATGGTGATAAGCCCCTCGTTAAAGCACTCTTGCAGCAAATCCAGCATCCTATCATTCTTCTTCTCCATTGCCATAACCAAAGCTTTCTTCACTACCTCATGGTTGAAGAATGGCATCCCAATATCCCGAATGCATTGACAAGCTTCACTGATAACACCACCACTTTCAAATTCCTCAAGAAGTTTCTGTATCTTATCCTTTGCATCCTCCACAGCCCAGCCAGTCCCACCACCCCAACACCTCAGGATCCTTTCTCCAGCATGGCGTGCAGACAAAAGTGATTGAGCCAAACAGACAGTTTCAGCACCACTGCTGCAATTTGGTGGCAACCTGGTCGTTATCTCCTCCATATTCAGTGGAGCAAGGACATCATCTATTACAGCCCTAGCAAGGAAAAGGGCTAGTTCATTGGAAGCATCTAAAATGTCAAGTGCAGTATCTTCAGCGGATTCCAGCAGCATCACAAAGCCATTCACTATGTCTTCAGTAGAAAAAATCTCAATATGAAGTGCAGAAAGCAAAACAGATGCCATTTCCTTTTCCTTGTTTTTCCTGTCCATGGCAAGGGTGATTAGCTTCTTCAGAAAAACAGGGTTATACTCAGGTGCCCCCAAATCTTCCAGACTCCGGATTAGCTCCGGAATGTCATCCGAGAGAAAGTATTCATGGATTATATTAACAATCTGTTTTTTGTACTGCTTCACTTTTTCATCATCTGAACCATTTGCTTGCCCATCTCCACCTGAGGCTTTTAGAAAAGATGCATCAAGCCATCCATCAGAGACTGCCCGAGGAACAATTGACTGGAACAACGTTTTAGCAGAAGGAATATCAAGACAAAGATCATCAATACTCTCAGCCAACCTAGAAAAGCCCTTCACCATTTGACTGGAACTTATAAGACCCTCTTCTGCAGCCTTCTTTAGAAGTTTCAGAATAAGTGGCTCAGCAGACGGCATCTCCATGGCTAAAACCAAAGCTCTCNCAGCAGACTGCATCTCCATGGCTAAAACCAAAGCTCTTTTGACAACTTCATGATAGAAAAAAGAAACTTCCAATTTTCTTATGCATCTGCAGGCCTCAGCAGTGTCTCCACTCTCAACATATTCCCTCAAAAGGTCAGCAATTCTTTTCTTGACTTCCTCCACAGTGAAATGGGTGCTGCCACCCCAGCGCCTCTCAACAAGTTCTGCATGGTGTGGAGCTGAGAGATAGCTCTTCTCAGCAGTTTGCAGCACCTGACGCCCCTTGTAGGAGTCTGGGAGCATTTTTCTGGCTCTGGCAATAAAAGCTGGTGGAAGAATGTCATCGACCACAGCCCGTGCGATGAATAATGCAAGGATATCAACAGTATCTGGTATGTCCACTGCCAAGTCATCAGCAGACTCCAGAAGCATGAAAAAACCCTGGCTAATCTGGGTAGGATTGATGACATCAGCATAAAGAGCAGAAAGAAGAACAGAAGCCATTTCCTTCTCCTTATCATGCCTATCCATTGCCATAGAAACAAGCTTCTTAATAACATATGGGTGATACTCGGTCGAACCTAATTCCTTGAGATCAGATGCAGCCACTTCAACGTCACCAGTGCTAAAGTATTCCTCTATAATTGATACTACAGATTTCTTGTAATCATCTAATGGATCAGAGACAGCAGTTGAAACAAGCTCATACGGTTCCTGTTCAGTAACAGTCAAGACGTGAGACAACATCAATATAATAACCTTACTGTTCTTCAGTTCCAACAAGCTCATATGGTTCCTGTTCAGATATAGTCAAGGCGTAAGACAACATTAATATAATAACCTTCAAGAGAATTACGGATGCACTTCTCACAACACCGATAACTCCAGCAGTTATAGGTAAAACAGAATATAAAATGAATCGATTGGTTCAGGAAAAAAAGGAGTTAGCAGATGGAAAATTAAAAATTTCCTTAAAGGATAAGTACTATGTGTGATCCCTTCCCTTGATCTGGCATTGTAGTATCTAAGATTAGAAGTTAAAATACAGCTCTGAACCTTTAACGTTTGTTAATAACCGCTGCTTTAAACCATTGATTTGATTAGATACAACACGAAGACAACCGTGGACTAGGACTATCATATAATTCAAAGAAAGGATTGTGAATCTTAGGATGCAGAACTTGTTTGTTATGTTACTAATCAGAGGGCAAAAATTGCAGGTCATGACGAATTATTCAGTAAGGAGGCAGATGTAAACTGGCAGGAAAAGAAAGAAAAAGAAACTAATCATGGTGAATTGAGAACTTAGAAGAATAACTTTACAATGCTTTCTGCAGAAATATACCATTGTCGTGAACCTTCACTTCGACTCTTCTCTATACAATCATTATGGTTAGATTAAACATTATTCTTTTGTTTCTTTCTCACCAATTGTGAGCACCTAATTTTTGACTATATTTGAATTTTTATCACCTTCTACTATGTAAATATTTTCAGAATTTAATATATATTTTTTAGCTTTGTTACACTATATATATATATAGAGAGAGAGAGAGAGAGAAAAATTATTAATAATTTAAAAGGTCAATTATTACTATTAGTATTATTT